ACCTGTGGTCATCAAGCCTGTATGCTGAGTCCATCCAAGCACATTTCATCAGGACCCCTTGGCACCTCCAGCCCATGTCTCACACAGCAGCTGCTGCCTTGCTTCTAACTCATCATTCTGTTGATTTCTTTCCCAGCAGTTCATATTGCATGATATAGTTTATTTTTGCACCTGCCCATCCCTTTTCCTCTCTAGAATTCAGGCTTCATGAAGGAAGCCACATTTTTTGGTGTTGCTTTTATTCATGTATATCTCCCCCACAGTGACTGACAGTGGTTCAGTCCTGAATGAATGAATGCTGAATGAATGAATGAAGAAATGTGCCTATAGAATGAGGTTGGGTAATACTAGAAACAGAAATGGCATGTGAGAAGCATCAAAAAGTATCATTTTAAGTTCTGTAAGAACATATGCCAGGCTCCCTGCTCCTTTTCAAAAATTGAGTCCTGCCTTGCCAGCCACATTTCCCAAGCTCAGCCTCTGAGCATCATGTTACATCCTTGATTACTGTTAGCAGAGGCCTTCACCCCAGGATGGGGTGAGAAGGAAAAAAGGATCTCTGAAACTGTTGTCCTAGACCAATGTTTGTCAAGGGCTGTTGACCTAGCTCCCAGCTAGAAGTGTCTGTTACCTTGTGACCAGTACACTCTTACACACGTATACACATAAAAATTCACAGCACATTGCTACATATATTTCTGATTCTCGTCTTTTCTATTTTGTTCTTTTAAAACAATCTTAGTTATGACCCGTTAACATTGGTTTCATGATCCATTAATGCATCATGGCTCATAGTTTGGGAAACAGAAACCACGGTTTAAAACATGGTACCTTGGAACTGGGAAGGCAGCTCTGCAGGTAAGAGCATGAAGACCCGCCAACTCTCCAGCACCGGTGTGAGAGGCTGGGCTTGTGCCTGCGTCTGCCTGTAACCCCAGCTCTGGGGAGGGTGGAGAAAGGAGCTTCCTGGGGCTTGCTGGCTAGTTGCTGGCCTTGAGAGCCTGTCTCAAGGGAATAAAGTGGAGATGATAGAACAGCATACCCAGGGGTCCTCTCTGCCCTCTGCATGTACTCAGTGCCTTTACACGCATGCACATAACCCCCCCCCCCCCGCCACACACACATCATGCTTTTCCTCAGGAATTCTCTATCTAGCAAAGGAAGTTGAACTTGAAGATGGATGGCAGCTGACTGCTAAGCTCAGTCCAGGCCTGAGGGTGGGGGGGTTTGGGAATGAACCTGCAGAGATGGTCCCTCCACCCAGACCTCTCCAGAGGCCTGGGAGAAGTGGACCTTTACATGTTAAATTAATTTTTTTTTTTCTTTTTCACAACATTTTCCTTCTCTTGGTTTTTCTCTTGGGTATTGATTTTTGTTTTGGTTGTCTGTGACTCTCAGGTACTTTTTAATTAAAGTGATGTAGAAACTTGGTCTCATTTTTATAAAACTCCCTTAGTTTTATAATATGCATGTACACATATGGGAATATATGATGAAAATAACCTCTGTCTTTTCTTTTGAATCTCTTAACATTTAATGGTGCATGGCCCTCACATTATTTCCATTAAGAAAACAAAAACAAGGTGCTGGAGAGATGGCTCAGCAGTTAAGAGCACTGACTGCTCTTGTACCCAGCACCCACATGGTGACTATGAACCGTCCTTAATTCCAGTTCCCAAGGAATCCGAAGCCCTCTTCAGACCTCCGTGGCATTATACGACATGGGTGCACTCACATACATGCAGGCAATACACTCATACACATAAAATAAAGAACCCCCCCCCAAAAAATCTATGCATTCTTGTCTTTAAATGAGATGTGGAGATTTCCATAAGCGCTCTGATCTCAGACTTATTGCACAACTATAATCAAATTACACCCTCTTCTGCAAGAGGCATTCAGTACAGTTTTCCTGGCCTTCGAAACTTGAGCACTTTCTTCTCTGTACATTTCCATTTTAAAAGTTCTCAAGCAAACCACATGAATCAACACACAAAACCGAAGAGGAAGCTTGAAAGCAAAGTGTTTCCAGCCTTTCTGTCTCCCCAACTCCAAGGTCTGAGCCCAATGCCCCACCTCGGAACCATCAGAAGTGCAACAGGTTCCCATGGGTGTGTCCCCAAGAAGCATCACATTTGTTTTTTTCTTTGAAATGCTTGCAGTTCTCCGTACAAAATGTATAGAAAAGCAGTAAGATACATTGAAATGCAATCAGTGTCTGTCTGGTCAGTAAAACAATAACAGCGTCAACAAAAAAAACCAAACAAGCCACAAAGTACCAGCAATTCCAGGCCTCTTACCATAGAATTGAAGAATGGATCAGGATAGGAACCATTCTTAGGATTCAGAGCCCTAGATTGTTTCTCCACTTAACATGTACTAGCACATGTGGCCACATGCAGTAACCAAATTAAGAAACCTCAGATCAATGCTCCCAATACAAAGGCCAGGGCAAAAGGAAAATTTGAGAAGCTGGGCGGTTGTCAGTGAGTGAGAAGTTACAGTAGCCAGAGCCTAGTGTATGTGGTACATGGAAGGTAGAGCGATGGAAAGGGGTTTATAGTAGAATGCTGAAAAGCTTATCAAAGTATTGTTCAGCAGAGACCATAGCACATATGAGGAGATGACCATTTTATCCACTTGCAGTTCACTAGAACCCCTCCCACCACCACCATTGGTGCTGAAAAATAGCAGATTTGATATAAGGAATCATGTCCAGTTAAGCACGTTCTCTTTGTAAAGATCTGGATACCTTGACCTGTCATTGATTTATTGGGTACCTGCAGGTATGGCCACTGTGCTAAGGGTTTTGCATCACTCCATCTCTGGCCTTCTACCCTTCTCTCAGCAGTGAGGGAGCTGTGACTCTGTGGTACCATCTCTTGTCCACAGCCACAGGGGAGTGGCCGTGTAGCCAGACCACCGTTCTTCTTTTTCCTCTGTCTTCCTCTTTTCAACTGGATCACTTACCACCCGATTGTTCTGCCCAAATGTGGGGTTTATTCAATCTAGCCTTTAAATAGTATCATAGGATTGTAAACACGATACTTGAGTTAGGCTTAGGAGAACCGCATTCTTGGCTTATAGTTATTTACTTAGGTTAGTTGGCCTTTATTGCTTTGTCTTGGTTGTTTTCTGGTATAAGATTAAACTACCTGCTTTGAAAGCCATCTCGATGGAAACACAAGCCATTAGGTTCCCAGCCCTGAAATCATCTCTTTGCAGAAGTGTTTGAACCTCCTGTAGCTTAGGCCATAGTGTACACTGGTAACTAGGGATCTCTTGGGAGCCTTTGATGATGAAAGTCAGGCTAGCACACACCCCTCCCCACTGCTGAAGAGCAGCTTTGATGGGTAGTTTTACCTCAGCCCAGTTTCCTAATTCTGGTCTTCCTCCTCCCTGCCACGTCTCCACCCCTTACCTTTTGGCTTTTTAAAAAGTATGCTGTACAGCTTTTTCCACAGGAAGAGATGGAGGATCCAGGGCCTGCTTTACTTGGAAAGGCTCATCAAGCCCTGTGTACTGTGCCAGACTTGAAAATGTGTTCATGAAAGGAAAGGTCATGGAGGGACTTTGAGTTTTCCAAAGTTGAAGTCTTTTAGGTCTTTAAATGGGCCAGATGATTAAACTGTGCATGTGTGTTTAGCATAGATGCTCTGGGGCCTGAGCAACTGGGTGGATCGACGTGCTGGCCTCTAACCATGGCTTCCTGAGACGCCCTCATTCCCAGTACACTAGAAACAGTTTATTCAGGTTGTGTGTGTGCTGCTGTTACTGAGACGCACATATTATTTTAATGTGTGCTGTGAATTTGCATGTAAGATTTATAAGAACATTATTTGGTGAAGTGATGACTGAAGTGTAAATTTTTAAAAATCCTTTAGAGATTTTTGGAAAGGCTTAGCTTTGGTGCCCCTTCAGTGCTGTTTTCTCATACTTTTCTCCCTATGTTAAAAGGTTTTCTTGAGTGCTTTCGAAACATTGGAAGACAGCTCCAAGCTTCCTGGAGTGGAAGAGTTGTGGAGACTGGCTGGAAGCATGGGGTGGTGTGGGTTCAGCTAATTGAACTTCTTTTCTTTCCAAATCAGTAAATATTTACAAATGACCTTATCAAACACTGGGTCACTTGAATGTAGCACAGTGAGAGTAACTGCCCTGCTGCCAGTTCTGCTGGGCTTCAGAGGAAGTCCCCCCTCCCCCTCCCCCTCCTTTTTTTTTTTTTTAAAATGTGTGGATCTTAGTCTAAATGTCTCCGGCCAGCCCAAAAGTGGGCCTCAGAGGAAGCTTCCTTCTCTCCATGGACTAGTCATAGAAAATTTGCACTTTTAAAGTTTGTCTTCTTCTAAAGGTTCAACTCTTAGAGACTGGAGCAGATCCCTGTGAACTGAAGAATCCAAAAAGAACCCCACCCCCATCCCCCACTGGCTTAGGTCTGCTGTTGTTGTCTGAGATCTTTTGTTTTTTTGGGGAAGGTAATTATAAATTCCATTCCAAGCATAAACATTCTTTTGTGAGCAAGTTGGAAAAAGAAAAATGAGTGGATTACTTTTCCATTTTTGTAAGATGTGCCAATATAATGTGGTTTAAAAACAGCTGTAATTTTTAGAGCAGAAATGGTACATTGAGGGTGTTTCCGCCCTCTTAGTCAACATGTGAACTTCAACCAAATTATAGATTTTGGAAGAGAATACATATATTTTTCCAAATTGATACTGAAAAAATAATAAGGGATTCTCATTTAGGGGATGATTGGGATATGAATATTGTATCAGCATAATCTGATAGCACCATGCTCATCCGGTCTGTCCAACTTAATGCAAAGAGGAGGGACAAGCCTTTTATGATGTTCTCTTGTCAGAGTATAATAATTAATTCTGGCAAATAGTCAACATCTCAATGAGAAGCTTTTGAGAATGACTACACTAGAGCAATGCATCTGTTTGCTGTGGATACTGCGTACTTCTGTATTAACACTTTTGTATTTTAATTTTTCTCTGCAGAGTATTGGGAAAGGGTCGTTGTGGTGCATAGACCCAGAGTATAGACAAAATCTAATTCAGGCTTTGAAAAAGACACCTTACCACCCACCTCCCACTCCTCAGGCATATCAAAGGTAAGCAAATCAGACTATCAGATTTTTTTTTTTGTCTACTGAAATTGCATTATTTTGGCAGCGACAGGCGCTGAAACTAATTTAATAGGCTGTGTGAGATTTTTAAAAATAACCACAGATAAATGAGAAAGAAATTAAGTATTATTAGGAAGCACATCCATTGTTACAGTCCCTGCAAACCTTACCTCTTCTGCTGCTTCAGAGGAGTGTGTTTCCAGAAGGCTTCATGGTAAAATAATGTCTCTTCCTGGGTAGAAACATTTACAAAGGAAAGTTGACAACTTTCATATCTCTGTGTGTCACGTTTTGTTGGGATAAAGGAGCGAGGCAAACAAGGGATTCCACCTTCCCAGAGCCTGACCGTCTGTACAGATGTTGAGTGAAGGCGTGCTCAGCTGTTGTCAACCTGTCTCCATGTAGACGGGCTCCTGAGTGATGGGTTTGTTGTGGTTACTCATTGTTTGCCTCTTCAAGAACAGTGGAAAACAGTGACCGCTGTCCCCTCCTCACATGCCTATTTGTTGTGAGATTGAGGTCACAAGTGCCATTTTTACAAACATATAATTGGAGGGGAGGGGTAAGTAGCTTGTCACCATTTTAAGAAGTATGTTTGTGTTAGAGTCCCAGAAAGGGCCATCAGTAACACAGAACCAGATTTCACAGTGGATTCTTATCTGTTCATGGTGCTTGGGTTTGAAGGACATCATCAGCCCCACCTCTTAAGTTTAAAAGGCATGTAGAAATGTTTCTGTTGCAACTAACTGGTTAAGGGAACTTGTTCTTGGATTGCACGTTTATGTTAATTGGGAATAGTATGATGTCAGAGGTTTGGGGAGTTTCACAGTCCAGTTTTTGCAGATTCTTCTAGGCTGATGTTGCTTCTGGAGGAGGGAACACAAAGTGGGTCTATGACATGGCATTAATGAAGTCCTCGTGCATCCCATCACAGACCCTAGACAATCAGTCTTCAGCAAGAGACTGGCAGGAACAGCTGGGCTCTTTGAGAAGACTGCTGTATGTTGCCTTTGCTAGGCGATTAGCGTGATGGTAGCCATAGCAACTGGAGCGTCTCCATAGCAACTCGTAGCTGAGACAGGTGCAGTTGCATCACAAGGCTGTTTGTTGCCTGGCAAAAGGACAGGCCATTAGTACTTAGATATACGCTGTTGCCTTAGAAACAAATAACCCTACACAGCAACTACAGTTGGTTTGCAAGGTTTGGGGGGGAATAAAACAAGGTTGTAGCAGCTTTTGTCTGTGTTCATAAAAATCAGTGGAAGCATACTTTATTCGAAATGACAACTAGAGGTCACATAGCTGTAGGAGATAAAATGGGATTTTCCAAAGCAGCCTAACTGGCATTGTAGAAATGTCCAGAAGGACAGAGCCATATGCTTGCCTTTCTCCTTGTGATTGTAGCTACTCCCGAAAAGGAAGCAAACTCGAGTTGGAGTAGAGAATTGCTCCTACATGGGGTTGCTGGGGTCCTGGCACTGATGACTGAATATTTCCCAGATTCATAGCTTCTTTGTCATTGTTTCCCCCACTCTCCAACCTCTACTCCACTTACTTCTCCAGTTCCTACCTAGAAGTATTTCACATCCCTCTGCTTCCAGCAAGCTAAAAACATAAGTGCTATGCACTGGGTCATATCACTGGTTCATTTAGACCAGTGTTTTGTTGCCAAACATGACCCCAAGGGAAACACTGCAATTACTTAATAATTTGAGGGATTATAACAGAGCTCTGGGGGTTGCAAGTGAAATGTACTCAGGAAAGTGGTATTGTGAGCTGGCCTCAGCCTAATAACTGCATTTGAGTTTTAATATGGGCATAAAAATGCAGATGAACTAGAGCTTTTATAGTGAAAATAATTTCCAGATACTTTAGATTCCGTTCTGTCGCCTGCATGCAGCTCCTTTTCTCCCAGTTAACGGGGGAAAATGTTCCATCACTGACCCATGCAGTTGCTTAGATTTCACCTTCATCAAGGTCACTGGGTGTGGAGTAAGATGATAGGTGAGATCCCAGCCTGCCTCTCCTATGGCTTAATCCTGAGGGGGCAACCTGCCTTCTGTTTGCCTTTGGAAGAGCTTGGTTGTGGAACCTCTAGTATGTGAAATTATGCTAAGGGTACTCAGTGCTGGATAACTGGTCAGGTATCTCTGTGCACTGGTGCTGGAAGATGGAAGAGGAAGGAGCCAGTTATAAACAGAGACCAAAACACCAAATGATGGAATCAGGCCAGGTCCACTGTGATGCAAGGGATCACTGTCAGCCCTGTGTGGAGTCACTGTGAAGCCTCCTGGAAAGTGCATGGGTTCTGTGGAGCCCGCACTCAGCGTGCTGAAGAAGATAGGGATTCTGCTAAGGTTAGCTCTTGCTGTCACTTGCAGGTGTGTCTGGCGGTAACACTGAACTGAGCCTCTGGTAGCTAGAAGCTCTGCAGGAAAATCAAGGCATCTGAAAATACTGCCCCAAACCTTGTTCACATCCAGATTTAATGTGACCCATCGCATTATGTACACTGGCACCTGTTTTCCAAGATGCCCTTTCAGATGTTTGTTGGGATGTCCCTCTACACCTGCTTTCTTTTTTTATACTAAATACCTTTTTAAACTGAGATTCAGAATACTAGGTAACATTATTCTTTGTATTAGTTTACTCAGGCCATCATGACAAAGGACCACAACTGAGTGAGTCAAACAGCATAAATGTATTGCCTGAAAGTCCTCAGTGCCACAAGTCCAAGGTCAGGGTGTTAGCAGGGCTGGTTTCTTTCACAACTATGGGACAGGCTCTTGCAGGCCTTGTCCCTGCTTCTGGCAGCTTGATGGCAATCTCTGATGTTCCTTGGCTTATGGAAGCATAAGTCCCATCTTGGCCTCCTTCCTCACAGGTGCTCTCCCTGTGTGCTGCCTCTCTCTCTGAACTTTTCCTTCTTATAAGGTATATTACATTTCTGTTGCTGTGATAAAATTCTGTGAGCTGAAGCAACTTAGGAAGGGTTTGTTTTAGCTTACTGTTTCAGAGGGAGAGTCCATAATGGCAGGAAAGGCATGGCATGGAGGCAGGAACAGGGAGCTGGCTGATCACAGTTCATCCACAGACAGGGAGGGAGGGAGGGAGGGAGAGAGACAGAGACAGAGACAGAGAGAGCACAGAAAGTAGGGTGAGAGTATAAACTTTCAAAGTATAAACCTTTCCCCAGTGTTGCACTCCTCCAGGAAGACTATACCTCCTAAAGGTTCCATCACCTCCCCCGACAGCACCAGCTGGGACCATGTGTTCAAATACACGAACCTACTTGGGGGACATTTCTTTGAACCACCAAAACTATGTACATTTTCAATTAAGAGCCTACCTTATTCCATGTGATTTATTTTAACTTCTCCAGTGGCCTGAAACCTAAATAAAGTAACATTCTGAGATACTGGGGTCTAGGACTTCTACATGGGAATTGTAGGAAGACATAATTTGGAGAAGAAGAACATAGGAAAGTGTTGAAAATGCAAAATGACAGGGTAGAGTCAAGACATAGGAACCATCCTGAAACTGCTCTTTTGAGCCAAGCTGGTAAAACTGGAACCATGAGCTAAGTAATGCTATTGTATTATAACCCAGAGTATAAAGCACTATCTAGTAGCCCATACTGATAATGTGTAATTGAATAAACAAGACCAAGGATGCATTTCCCATAGAGAAGAATTCCATGCAGTTGATGAAGATAGCCCTCTTACCCTAATGACTTGCTTGCCTATAGAGAAGGGTCAGAAGGGATGTTTATAGCAGACAAACCTGGCAAATGCTATCTACCAGTCAGAGATCACATTTATTCCTGATGGGAGGTTAATAGCAGGCACCTCCAGTATGATGTCACATTGCATTAGTTAGCATTCTGGCCCTGTGATCGATACCTTGTATGAAAAACCTAAAGGAGGGAAGATTTATTTTGGCCCATGGTTTCAGTCCCCTGTCCCTTGGCTCTGCCATGATGGCTCACCTCATGGCAGTTGGGGAGGGAGGGAGAGGGTAGGGAAAGGGCTGGTGTTCCAATATCCCTTTCAGGAGCACCCCCCAAAGACCTAACTTCCTTGTAGTAAGCCCCACCTCTTAAAGATTCCAGTATCTTCCGATAGTGCTACAAGCCAGCTGCTCACCCTTTAGTATATCGGTCTTTGGGGACATTTAGATTACCAGCCCAACAGTGGTTTTCCTGTTGAAACTTCCAACCATGAGGCAAACATGAAACAATGGCTTTGTCCTCCTCGGGGATGATCTCCAAAATACCAGATTGGCACCCCTCAGAGCCGCAGAGGCCATCAGAAATGGGATGTCTGAGAAACTTGTAGGCTAAAGGAGGCTGAGGAAACATGATGGCTGTATAGGAAACATGATTCTGGAACAGAAATGGGCCTCAGACAGAAAATACAAATGCAAAGAAACCGTGCAATTTAGCAGAAAGTAAAGTGCCGGTGCTCGTTTCCTAGTTAGGACAAATGTGTCATAGGAATGCGGGGTGTTTGAATGATGGGAAACTGAATGAGGGGCACAGGGGACTCCCTTGTGCTGTCTTTGTAACTGCTTAAAAATGAAAAAATAGTCACCCGCCCCCCCAACATAGACTAATTGAACTTACCAGCTACATTGATTTTAGATACCCAAATCATTCTTGGTGTAAGAAAGACGATGTCCTTGCCTGACTGAGCAGTTGTTGGGCTGCTTCTCTGTCATTGTCACAGTACAATCAAAGAGCTGGTTGTCAGGGCTCTTGCTTCCACTCACTCTTTGTAGGATCTGCTGAGTGACATGAGGGGTGCCACGGTGATTTCAGTAACCACAGGCCTTGGGACTTTCCCTTTATGAAGTGGCACTCAGCTGTGCTTTGCAGGGTCCCCATGACTTGGGAACTGAGGCCAGTTCAGCTTGCGTGAGGACTCCACACCTTTGCCAAGGTCAGGGGGCACATGAGCTTCAGAGGATGTTATTTTTGGATGTCT